GGAACCCTCTTCTGCAGGCTGAGCTCCCGTGTCGTTCCCAATGGTTCAATCCTGCTCTCTTGCTTTTAAGGGGAGATTATATTGGCATCAGACTTCGGGAAAATGAATTTGACCCAAAAGGAAGAAGGCAACTCACCTTTCTAGATGATATGGTAAAGAAAGGCATGCGGGTGCGAGTCCCATCTGTGTTCTATGTGTATGAAGGGGACAGAGCCGGGATCTAACGTACCCCACCAACGGGGCAGCCCTGGTCCTCGGGAATGGCCTCTGCCTCCCCTTCTCAGCGGAGCCTTCGCCTGTGGCCTTTGCAGCTCGTTAGACTGGAAGCGAAAGAGTGAGAAAATAAAAGTCGTGGAGCTTTTGCTATTTACAGTGAGAAAGAGTTAAAACGCAAAATGGGTGCAAGGCCAAATATTACGTATGAAGTCCAAAGGCTCTGGACGAAGTTAGCTATCGTGTAGTTCTCAAATATAATACCGTTTGGGGTTTTTGTTTTGTTTTTTACCATTTGCATGAATGGAGAAAGAAAACCAAAGAACTGAATAATCCTAAACTTCTGTTATTATTCGTGTTGAAACGCAGGCTCACGTTATGTAATGAAAGTTCATGTAAGTTAAGGAAGAAACTGTGTACAGATCTAATTCAGGAGAAATGAGTACACCCCCAGCTTTCTTACGCCACCCACTCCCTGCTCTAGCGTGAGTAGGAAAGGATCTCTCCCTCCTCTCCCCTTCGCCCTGTATGAATTCCCCGGAGCTGAGGAAGTGGTTAAGCCTTGATGTTCTGCAGTGCTTCTCTGTGCACGTGTTAGAGGGAGAAATTAAACCAATTAGATAATTGCTTCTCAAACTTTAATGAGGTCTTACTACAAGGCCGCTGTGATTCAGGAGGCCAGGGGTGGGGCTGGGAGTTTGCATTTCGAATGACTGATGCCAGCGCCACCATCCATGCATCAGTCCTTGGATTAAGTTTCAACAGCTGGTCATGGTCCATTTGGTTTTCTTTCTTTTTCTTCTTTTTAAAATTCACTTTTGAATTTGGTTCAGTTCCTGGAAGACATAGAAATAATTACATTGTTTAGAGAATGTGGGAGTGAGACAGAACCTCAGACGCATCTAAAAATACAAAAGCCAAACTGACCTTCCCTTTTCTGGGGGTGAGGGTAGCAATGGACATTGGAATCAGTTCTCACCTTTCTATATGAGACTCTTAGGAGGTCTCTTAATCAGGTCTACCTCAGTCCTTTGTTCATGCTGGCCCCTCACCTCTTAGGTCCTTCTTTACCTCCAGAAATTCTCCTCATCCTTTAAGCCCAGTTCTGCTGAAGCCTCCTCTCTGAAGCCTCCCAGGATTCCCCCGGTGGACACACCACTTTGCCAGTGCCCCTGGGAGCACATTTCTGTCATTCTACTCATAGAATTAGAAGTTGTTCTCTGGATCCCTCTCCTTCCACCTTCACCTCTCTCTATTTTTAATTTTTAAGGGGGTGGGGTCTGGGGTCTGGAGGAATTGAACAAAAGTGGAAAAAAGAGAAAGATTACTCATGGACAGGGACAGCAGTGTGGTGATTGTGGGGGGTAGGGAGGGTGGGTGAAGGTGGAAGAGGGTATAAGGGGGATAAATGGTGATGGAAAAATATAAAATAAAATAATAAGGAAAAAAAGGGAGAAAAAGAATTACACTGAGGCCCAGAGATCAATTGCTCACCTAAGGATATACCACAAGTTGTTGGCCATACCTAGATGTGAGCCCCAATTCCCCGATTCCCAATTTAGTATTCTTTCTAAGGCTCTGTCCTTTCTTTTTTGGTCCACACAAACCAAATAAAACTGCTCCAGTGGGAGTAAAGCTAATGCCTGTAGATCTCTAATGATGTCTGCCCGAGCTGACGATCCTCACCGTTGTAGAACAGGCTTAGCAGCGCCACTGTCCCTGGGTCTGGGGAGTGCTGTGGCCGGTGTCTAAGCTGCTCCGTTGCCCTCTGTGCTTCCCGCTTCCAGGCACACTACGACTTGGCCATCAGTGTCGCTTTGCAATGGCTGGATCGCCCAGAAGACTTAACTTGGCTGGAGTGGGAGAAAGTGTAAGTTGAAATAGTTTTTGTTTTGTAATGTGTGACTGTGAGAAATGAAAAAGGAAGTCCTACCTAGTGCCTTCCACTTTGAGCACTCTGATTTGAAAACACTGCCAGAGAGTATACCTCTCCAACTAGAAACCTGTGTTAAGCTGTCTGACTCGTAGAATAATATCCTTTCCAGGGTTATTGGCATTTTCTCCAGGTGTGCCAGGCAGACACACTCAGTTGGTAAGAACATGAAACTAATGAGACCAGAATTGAATAGCTTATTCCGGAGGCCTTCGTCTGTTCCACAGCCTTAGGACACACACCTGGTCCTGAATGGCCCTATCGGTTAGGGTGTAGTTATAATAAGCAGGAAAATTCCTTTTGAACATACTTAAGCAAAGGAGAGAAAAAAAGGAGGGGGAGGAGATTTATTGCTTCTGTGTTTGAAAATCCACAGGTAGATCTGCCCGAGGCAGGACTTAATTCAAAACTCAAACCATATCATCAAGATCTGCCTCTTGACTATTTCCTCTGGGTAGACACTATTCTTAGTTTTAGCCTACTTTATTGCAGAATTCAGTCCAGGGGAGAATGGGTTTTTAAAAAGCACAGAATTGTGTCTCAATAGCTCTGTTTACCCTGACTTGTCAGGGTGGAGTGGGGGATGGAGCCCACAGTGTGTTTCCAGTCTTTGGAATCCGGGGGTATTGTCAGCTCCCCTTGAAGCACATAGGCTTACAGTGGAGTAAGGCAGTTCCCCCAAGCAAATTGCCACAAAAAGGGAAAGGATCCTGGTTGGCAAATCCATAATTGTCCACCATAGTGACCAGTCAATGTTTGATGCCGTGAAAACATGGATAGATGAGGGCAAATTCATCAGCACTGTAAGAAGATGCAAAGTGTGGTTGGGTGGAGGCAGGCAAGGGAGGGGAATGGGGCATCTGTAATAGTCTCAACACTAAAAATAAAGGTAAAGCCCTGGCTGGCTCGGCTCAGTGGTTAGAATGTCAGCCTGCGGACCGAAGAGTCTCGGGTTCGATTCTGATCAAGGGCACCTACCTGGGTTGTGGACTGGTCCCCCGACCCCAGTCTGGATGCATGTGGGATGCAACCAATTGGTGTGTTGCTCTCACATTGTTTCTCTCTCTCTCTTTCTCTCTCCTGCTTCCCTCCCTTTCACCCTCTCTAAAATATCAATGAAAAAAATATATCCTGTGTGAGGATTACCAACAACAAAAAATAAAATTAAGCCCGGCCGGGCGTAGCTCAGCGGTTGAGCGTCGACCTAGGATCCAGGCGATCGGGGTTCGATTCCCGGTCAGGACACATGCCCGGGTTGCGGGCTCGATCAATGACTCTCTCATCATTGGTGTTTCTATCTCTGTCTCTTCTTCTCACTTCCTCTCTCTGAAATCAATAAAGATATATTAAAAAATAAAATAAAGATAAGTAAATAAATAAAAGCTGTAAACCACATAGCGCTGCCCCCC